TGTGGATTATACTCTGGTACACTGTGACTAATGTCTAATACTGATTAGAGGGTAATCAAGTTTACTATATTTGTGATGACACCATGGATACAGCCATCACGTGATCGGGAGGGCCAATCAGAGAGCCCATATCCCGATTTGTAATGTGCTGCGTCCGAGAGACACAACCATCACAGAATTGTGCTGCTGCTCAGCTCGGGGCTATGCGCAGGCACGTGTTCTGAGGGACATAGAGGAATGACCACTCAGAACAGGGAATCTTCCATCTAGCTGTTTATGTACATTGGCCAGGTGAGAGGTGGTTAAGATTTAAATAATAAAACCTGGAAGCTGATTGGTTTCTATGCTGAGCTACACCAGATTTTGCACTCAGCAGTTTTAGTGAATCAACCCCATGATGTCAATGGCAGAAGTTTTTCTGGATTAAAAGCTATGCATGCTTTTTTGAAAAAAAAAAAAAACACAGCAGGGGAAGGCTTTGGGGAGGGGACAAAATTGAGAGGCTCTGTCTAAAATACACATAAACCCTCACCTCAGTTTAAAATAGAAATAAAAGGCAAAACATTTGTGTATGCATAAAAACAATACCAAGAAAAATACCTTTTTTTCCCTTTTATATTAGTGATCACATACCCTATGTTTGCAACTGCATAAGTAGCTCAGAGAGCTAGGGGAAGAGAAACAGATGAACACTGAACTTCTCAGTGAATGGCTGTGCAGGGGGACATGTCAGCCCAAACCTGATCATTGGAGGAGAGCAGGTTGAGTTCCAAGTACAGCCAAAACACTGACCATGCTGTGTGGTCAGTTTTAATAGGAAAGTAGAGAGACTGGCAGGAACACCAGGTATTTCATACAAAGGAAGCAATACAAAAATAACATGATACTTTTTCATTCAAGTACATGGTACAGCAGGCACATATCAGGAATATGAAATGTTGGGTTAACATATTCTATAAACTGGGGATCTGTTTTCACAGTAGTCCCTTATAGTGGTGAGTGAACTAGTTTTCCTAAAATTACATTTGCTTCCACTATGATTGATCGCCTGCAATGTTTGTTGTAGATCACTGTTTTTCAATGATGGGTAAACTGATCCACAGGGTGAACTGTAAATGGTATCATTTGGATCCTCTCAAGTTCGCTTTCTCTTTGCAATGGGCCCCATAAGATTCTTTCTTGCCTGCTCTCCCTTTTTCAGCCTAGGTCCTTTGTTCTAAGCCTAAATAATGAAATAGTAAAATTCAAAGAGATTATCATAATGGCCCAGTTCCCCCAAAAGACTATTCATCTTGTTATCAATATACTATGCCAGGGGTGTCAAACTGGTAGCCCTCCAGCTCATCATGCCTCTGCCTTTGGGAGTCATGCTTGTAACTGTCAATCTTGCAATGCCTTATGGGACTTGTAGTTTGGCAGCAGCTAGAGGGCCGCCAGTTTGACACCCGTGTACTATGCACTCATTTGCAACTTAGTCAAGGGAACCATGCACATTTGAAGTGATACAAAATAGTACACATAAATGGATTGGTAGGGAGCTCAATGGAACCTTTCACTAATCAATTTAATGTCAATAATTGACAGCTGATTCTCTGACATACAAAACAGATTGCAGGTTCAGATTGGGGGAATTTGATCATCATGAAACCCTTGTCCATGCAATTACAGTTTAGGATCCCTAGCACAGTCACACAAGGATGTACAATCTAGGCCAATTTGGTACACACCAAATAATCTACCAGTATGTCCTGGAATTGTGGAAGGAAGTCTGAAAAGCCAAAGGAAATCCACAAAGGCAAAACTGAGAAAACTATATGCAGAGACTTGCTTGTGCATATGACAACACTGAATAGAAAGGCATATGAGTGTTCCAATTCTTGTGATGAACATGCGTTCAATGCATGCTTTAACATACTGTATATATATTTTTATGTATTTATTTTTTTTTTTTTTTAATTTCCGTTTCATTATTTGCCTTTTAATATTTTTTTCACTAAACGTTTCTAAGCTGTACAGTGTTTTGTATTGTAATTTTTTCCTTAAAAGGGCAATTCATTCAAAAAGATAAAGCTTTCTGCTCACAAAGGAGACCTGTTGACCCACAGCTTGCCTATGTCATTTGTGTACTGCATTAGCCTACTGAAGTCCTCAGTCAACTGAAATCCAACAGAGGGTTTATAACTTCGCTTCTTCATTCTCTGTTGTGTAATATAAATGAAGAATATGTTGGTGGTCGGGTGATACTACTGTAAAGTCTGGGGTGGCCAAAGCTAGGAATGCAGGTATAAAAATGTTACCATTGAAGTCCTTGAGCAATATAGTTAATGATTCAGACTTTGGACAACTATACAAAATAAAACACAATATTAAAAATAGTTATTTTGCCAGGATTTGCCATTTGATAATTGTAATGTGAGATTCATGTTTCCTTCCAACTTTTCACATTTTATTCACTACAGTTTAATGAACTATATGGACGTGCACATTTCTATTGTACCAGTAAACATCACATACCTAACTGTATAATAAAATGCATGCAGCACTGAATGTCTGATTCATTCAGTCTATAGCTTCAGTAGCTCACATGGTTTCTTCTATACTGCCCATGGGAGAAGAAAATAGAATGGATCATTCATCAACTGGATCAATGTTCCCCAGGGTCAGTTCTGTGTAATGAGGTGACTAAATGTACATGGCATAAATTAAAAGAGTGTAAACCAAACTGTATGTACACATGCATTCAATTCAGGCAAATTATTTCTAAAATAGAGGCTATCCACATGCTACATGGATATGGAAGGAAATATCTTACTTCGTTATATACCCAAATAACTAATAGGTATTCTTAAAGTGAACCTGTGGCCAGGGTATGGACATTCAAGTATTTACATATTATTGAAGAAGCAGTAAATGAGCTTTAAAACAAGCCCCTGAAGACATCTGTAGTTGCAGACACTGCAGAGAGAGTCATACTCAATGTTCAGAATGTAACATTGAAATAATCCTTTTTTCTCCACTGTAGGGAGTGAAATTGAGAGTTTTATTTTTCCCCAAAATGTTGGTGAAAACTAAAAGATTTTGGTGAAATGCATTGGCGTAAATGAGGAATCCAAAATCAAGAAGTCTTTCAAAGGTTCAATGAGCTTTATATGGTTCCTCACCCTTGTGATGAACAACAGCAAGTCATTAACACAACAGTTTACAACAGTGAAAAAGCAGCTCAGTGGGTGAAATTGAGAGTTTCTGCCTCTGTGAAATCTCACCAAGATCATTTGACTATTCCCTACTCTGCTCCCCTCTGTTAGAACACCTTCTATGTGTTTGCATCAAATATTAGAAGGCTGCTGAACCACTGCTAAGGGGCATTGGCAGGATGAAAATCCTCCGCCTATTATTTTTTGAAAGAAAGTTCAGTGTCATAGTTGGGTGGGAGGGTGGGTACTACAGGGGTTCTGTGTTAGAGTGAAGCATGGAAAAACCCTAGATCTAGAGGGTTGCTCTGGAGCAGAGATGCTCAACCTTTTGAAGATCGCTCGCCACTTAAGTGATTTGGTCACGGGGGGGGGGTGGACTGACCATTCGGAAACTCGGGCACTGCCCGAGGGCCCGGGGTCAGTAGAGGGCCCCATGAGATGCCCCTGGTACCTTTTTCATAGGCTTTTTTGAGTTTGGGCAAGGACACAGGGGCCCCATGATCCCCTATTGCCCGGGGGCCCCATGAGTTGTCAGTCCGCCTCTGGTCACGGGCCACAATGAAATGAAATGGTCCAGAATTTTGCATTTTGAATAGCATGATGAAGATTTTAAACAACAATCAGGATCATCATTTTCTGTGGGACCAGTCCCTGTTGGATGTTTACCCAAGGTCTAATCACAAAAAGAAAGAGTGGATGACACTAGTGTGAACACTGACTTTGTTTACTTTTTACAAGGGCTCTATGTCTACTTCAGTGGTTGCAGGTGGAAAATGAAAAGGATTGGTTCCTGTACATGCCTCCCCCACTACCCCTCCCACCCAAGTGTAAAATAAAATGTGACAGGGAGGCTGCACAGGCCCCCTGCAATATGGGGCAGGGTTGCCATTGTGACCCCTGATGCTACACCAGTGGCTGGGGCTGTGTGGTAAAAACATGTCTAAACTATGAGGTTTTACTGCTCCCTGCAAATGAAAATGAGCCCTTACTGTCCTGAGTACCTTATAAGACTGCTTTCACACTGATGCGCTGCGGTTTACCTGCACCTTAGGTGCAGTGCACTTGTGGCTTTCCTGCAGATTAGCTGCACTTTGCCATAGACTTCTATTATATCTTATGGGTGTGGTGCACTTTCAGAAAGTGCGCCAAGTCCAAGCGATATAATAGAAATCTATTGCTCATTACAGCTAACTCACAGGAAAGCCGCAGGTGCACAGCACCCTTCTTATAGGTGTAAATCTGCCCACTGCAAAAGCGCAGTGTATGTGTTGTTTAACCTCCCTGGCGGTATGATTATTTCAGATTTTTGGTGCTGAAAGCGGTACCATTTTTTTGCATGGAAATATGTTTTTTTTTTATTGTAGGCTGTAATTTTTAGGAATAACTCACTGAAATCTGTCCGAACAAGAGTCTAGTAAACATCCCGGGTATGTTAAAATTTGAAACACTAAATCATAAATTATAATTTAATAAATAATCATAAAAATAATAATATAATAATAATAAATTTAATTTAATAATATAATCAAACCAAAAACACTTAAATTTGAAATATAGCGCCAAGTTCGCACATCGCTGAGCAAAGTCGCAAAATCGTTTTCATTGTTTGATGACGAATTTCCCCCACGAATCATTATCACTCAATTCTGCAAGTGGTTCTGATTTACTATTGCTGTTCTCTAGCTGGTCTAAAACCGCTTTTGACCTAAAGGGACGCTTTTTGGACGCCATGGAAATTTCTCAGTTTCCAGGCAATAAGAACAGTAAAAATGCAGGCAGATCACAGGACAAAGCACTCGGGACAAAATGTATGTGAAATGGTTTGATACAGTAATGTTTTACTATGTGATTTTAGTGATTTTTAGTGAATGTCACTTTTTGTCATTTTTGAATTTCCCGCCGTTCCGTCCCCCGTACGTCCCGACGCTCACAGGGGATGGAACCCAGATGACAGATGCCGGCATCCGCCGGATTACATTGTCGGGGACACTGCAGGAGGGACATCGTGGGAGCGCAGGACAAGGTAAGTGATACAGGGATCGTGGAGCAGCGCCGCATGGTATTCCCGAGTGTAGCTCGGGGTTACCGCTTTTGGTACTGAAACCTTACCCCGAGCTACACTCGGGAATACCGCCAGGGAGGTTAATACACTGACCTTCTTTTCCCCTTCCATCTTCGACTGGCATCGCTCTCCAGGCTGTTAGAAAAGTCCCAGGTGAAGTGCACTTGGTATCACTCCACCCGGGACAGGAGCTGGCGCTACAGAGGAAGCATTGGCTTGTGTGGGTGTTGCTCCCTCTGTGTTTGCATGCTTCCTCTGCTGCTGGAGCTGGCTTGATGCATCCTGATGCTCTGGAATGGTGGGTCAGCAACCCGTCAATCATGATCTAGGCTTGCTAACTCACCATCCCAGAGCATAGGCATGCACTTTGCTGGTTTGAGGTCGCGGGTCACATCAGAGGGCTCTGCAGGCCACATGTATTCCGTGGGCCATGGGTTGAGCAGCCTTGCTCTAGAAGCAGTGAGGAAGGCTGGCAAAATTGCTGTCACTGTCACAAATTGATTAAATTTATATATGTAAAAGTGTTATAAACAAACTTTAAATAAAAACTGTGAAGTCCATCAATCAGTCCATCAAACAGTTATTAACTCTCACTATCCTATAATATCAAAGTTCAAGATGTTCAGAAATTCTTCTAACGATCTCCCATGTGCATGTACCTCAAAAAAAAAGGAAATAGCATATAGTGCATTATCCTTTGTATAATATAAACTTAATTCATCTCCCACAATCCAGTGACAAATAGTGATAATGGTGAAAAAAAACGGTGAAAATAGTGAAATAATCAGTGAAAACACTGTGTGTGTGAATCACCCTTCAATCCCACACACAGAAAGATATAATTGCAAACTGGTGTGCACTTCTATTCATAGTAAGGGTACCCTTACCAACATTTCAGAAAACACATGCTTATATCAATCCAACAGCTTTCTCAGGATGAATGATCTCCACAATCCTCCCTGGATTGCTGATCCCACTGTTTCCAGGCACTTTACTCCATCCAGGGACAAAACATAAGGAACACAATAGTGTAATACCGCCAATAGTAAAATCAAATGACCTTTATTTGAACTGCTTACATCAAAACAAGCCTTTATGCACGTAATCACTCATAATAGAAACCTCACAGCCTCACAGCCATCCAGGAAGAACATCCAGGTGCTCCAGATCATTCGCTTCCCTTTTCCAAAATGGCCGCCGGTCAACTTCCGGTTCCTGTGTGCGTCCTGACGTCACTTCCCTTGACGCGTTTCGTCATTGGCTTAATCATAAGGGGTAATAAGGGATCATAATCATAAGTTTTTATTTAAAGTTTGTTTATAACACTTTTACATATATAAATCTGTTACACCTTCAGGGGAAGGTGTTGTTTGTGTTAAGGGTTATTGTTTATCACATTTATTTAGGAGGTGGTTTTTTGTTAAAACAAATTGATTAAAGTTGCACTAAATTATATCTTTATTCTACAAAAATAATCCACACACATTCAATACTTAGTGGTCTAGTTATCTATTCTTCATTATATTGTTTCTTACTGTGTTTTTTGCCTTCTGGTAACTTTCTCTATGACCTCTCGATACCTCTCCTTTACATTTTTAACTTCTGTTTGTTTATGAGCAGTGCACATTAGTTGTAGTGATGTGCACTGCTCTATGCATACTAGAAATCCCATAGTTCATAGTTTCTAATTCATCTTGGGAAGCAAGCAAGGGAGGGTGGCTTCCAGGGGCAGACTGACCATTCAAACACTCGGGCACTTCCCGAGGGCCCGGGGTCAGTAGGGGGCCCCATGAAATGCCCCTGGTACCTTTTATAGGCTTTTTTTGAGTGTGGGCAAGGACATAGGGGCCCCATGATCCCCTATTGCCCGGAGGCCCCATGAGTTGTCAGTCCGCCCCTGGTGGCTTCATTCCTACATAGAGTGTGACCATGAAGTTTAGTGTCACTTTAAGTAGTGCTTTTACTTTATTTAAATTAGTTCACTGTGCATTATTGTGGCTATTGCAGATACTATGTTCTGGCATCAGTTACAAGTACAACAGTATTATTATACTTCAGAATATATATTCCAAAAATGCATGCAAGTAAGAATTCAACTGCAGTTAAAGATAACAAGTAGCCTGAGATAATTGCCTGATCAAACCAATTTTGAATCTAAATACAAATGAGATGCAGAATCTCGTTCTGTGTAGACAGCCCTCTGGTTATTCGAAGGTGTTGGGCATGTTATGAGTACCGTAAGGCATCAACAATTTTTGGGCAGGCAGGTAATGTTGGATTTCAGTCATATGACTCCACAGGGTGTTTTGCTTTGTTGCCATCATACTCGCAGATATCTGTGGCTCCAACAAATCCATGGCGCTATAAAATAAAAGTGGGTGCATTTCATGTGATAAAACATGCATTATGTGTTGGCTGACCAGAAATTGTACTAAAAGGAAATATTATGAAATAAGGAGAGCTTCTGAAATGTCAATGTCCCAGCTTGGGACCTAGGTGCATTTTCTATAAATCTGAAATATCTATTGGGTTGTGTTGTCCCTTTTATACTTTTTCCTTAGTAGGCTTGCAAAGGAGCGAAAACGAGTGTTTTCAATGAATATTGAATGTTGATATTTATTTTAAAAGAAACCTATACTGTAGGCTGCCATTGCCAACTTCTCTTTCTGGACATTGTCTGGATGTCATGTTGATACATTCGCTTCGATACTATATTTTGAGTCTCTGAATTGGAAGTATAGAGTTTAGGTGTTCCTTCCTTACAGAGGTAAAAAAGAGAAACACTGATTGGACTTTTGAGGTACCAAAAAATTACAACTATATTCATATAAAAGTACAAAGATTTACTTCCTCTATATTTATATTCCTATCCACTGTGCCTCAGAATTACATACATTAATCTCATAAAAGCAATCCATACCAGTTACTGTAAGTTGACAAGTATAATATCTTTTTTGGGGGGATTGAAGATGCAGTGTTCCTACTTTGACTTTACTGACTTTACTTGTATTCTTACTCCTGGTTTGTGACTTGGAAATAAGAGAAACTAAAAAAGAGCCAGACTATGAGCATGTTCTGAAGGAGGTCAATAATGATATGTTATATACTTCTTCCCTCAGTACAGGTTTCATTTAATGAATGAAGTTTAATGGAAATGTGAGCCCAAAATGTGTTGTCACAAGGAAAGCACAGTAATCCAAAGCAATAATGGTTGCTTTGGTAATGTTTTAGACAAATGAAGTCAGTTTTGAATGTAAAAATGTGTAAAAAATATCAGTTATCAGTTTCACATGAGAAGGGATTGTAGCAGTTGCCATCAGACCCAGTAGAATAGTAATAAAGCTAACATCAATAAAGCCATAAAGTATTGGTTTCAATTTGAACCATAATAATTCCTTGTCCTTCCTTCAGGAAATTCAACCAAAAGATCCATACCACTATTAACACTATTTACAGTGTGAAGTTAGCCAAAACTTCTTTAGTTTTGTAAAGAATGTGAAAGGGTCAGAACCTCAATGAAATACAGACCTACAGGTCTCCTATCTCTTTTGGGTTCTCTGGTGGTAAGATCTCTGCACAATTTCTGCAAGTGAGCCTTTGCTATTATGATCAGGTATCTCATTGTCTTATGTAAGGAAGAATCAGCAACCTGGGATGATGCAAAAAGTGAGAAAGGCCACATCTTTGGGGTACACAAGAGATATAGCATGCTGATGAGATTCAGACCCACATATATACTAATAATTAAAATATGCATTTTGCATAGATATAGCTATTATTTGGAATGAAGGTTGGGGGGGGGATCATGGCTCACCTAATACAATGTGAAGAGGTAATCGTAAAGAGGAAGGTATGAGACATATATTCAATAATTTGCTGTTTACTGTAGGGTTTGTAACAATTTATTTCTGTATCAGTTTAGCATGTTTATAAATTTACTCACGTTGTGCTCCCTTGCTGCCTGGAGTGGTAATGGTGTGCAAATGATGTTATGAATCTATTATTTCCACATAAGATAACAGATGGAATAAAAACATGTTATAGGAGTGTGCATTACCTGCTTTCCACTGATAAGATGAGAATATATATCCAGATGTCTGCAATCACTAGACTGGTGTCTGGTTCACTGTATGTCGTCCTTATTTGACCTTGGCTATGCTTTTCTATAGTTTAGACTGTCATTATCTAGGGCTTACTCATAAAATCCAGCACCTTGGGATAAATCCTTTGTGTTATGGTCAGCTTAATGTCTGTTTTAATAAAGTTGGGTGACACTATTTTTAGTACCGATCAAAAAGGTGTATATATATATATATATATATACACACAGTGTATATATATATACTGTAGATATATATATATATATTTATTTATTTGTTTATTTTTTTATTATTATTTTCAAGAAATTTATCTAGTTTTCTCATGTTTTAAATTGTTTCTTAACAAACTGTTATAACATGATGTTGATGTTTCTCATCCACTGAAATCTGGCAGGGCAGGTGTGTGAGCCATTGTCTTGCTAATGCCAGTTCAAATGCCTTTCAGCTTTTGGCAAATGCTTTACCAGTATGTGTGGACACAGGTCCAAAACATAGTCTCCTTCCTTAAAACACCTGCATTGATGGACACGAGACTCTTTCAAACCACTGATCATCCGAAAGAATTTGACTTGGAAAATTAACTATACCAGCCCAATTTGATTGGCCTTATTGGTGGGTAGATGTGTGGGTCCTTGTCATGCCTATATCAGCTTGTATGGGAAATCACCTCAAGAGTGTTGTTTGGGGAGAGGGACCAAAACATTGACTACCCCTTTTTAAACACCAGCTGGGCACTGATGGCCACCAGACACTTCACCACCACTTGTGCCTCCAAAGAATGTGATTGTGGAAATTAAAGTTGAAGTTCATACTAAATCTTAATCCTGATTCTGCCAGCATTCTAAAACCTTTACTAACTAGCCTGTAGAGGAAAGATGTCTATACTTACATATTCTCAGGGAGCTCCAGAGGGCAAGAGACAGCCAAAAACGGATGCCCCATAGTAAGCCTATGAGTGAAGTCGCCGTCCAGGTATTGCTGTT